GTAGATGGGAATTACCCCGGGCTATTAGAACCTGCACAGCTGTGGGAATTATGATGTGACGCATCTGGAACTGGGCTACCTCACGATCGATGGCATACAAAATTGAAATATCAAATAGTTAGAGAGATATTAATAGTGTAGCTCCCCTTTAGGCTATAGGGAATATGCTGAAGATGAATAAATATTCGTTATAATTAAGAAATATTAATATATGTATTATGTTTTACAGGGTGTATCTAACTAATCAACAGTTCTATTAGGCGGATACATAAGTTCTCTCAGTGGACTAGTTATTTGGACAACTGATAGATAAGAATATGGATTTGAATATTTGGGTTGTGTATTTGGATGGAATGTTGTCTTAGGCAAAGGTCGAATGCTGTGACGATGGGGCTAATTAATATACATATGTTGCACAGCTCATCGGATAGTCGAAGTATGCGTATGGAAGAATAAGTGAATCGAATATTATTTACTTATTCAAAAATATTTAGAGTTCTCTCCTTCTCGCTTTATCTCGCTGTCTTTCTCTCAATCCCTCCCACAATTGTTTCTTTATATAGACTAACTGTGGAAAGTCCGACATAGCTTTATATGGCAGACGTTTAATTTTTAAATACATAAGTAATTCTTCTTATAAGAGTTTATAAAATAAGTTTTACAAAATGAAGGTGAACATTTGAACGCTATAAATAATCCAATGATTAAGTTGATATATAGTAGATTATAGGGAACTAAGAAATGCTAAAATATTTACTTTTTCTTTTATTATATCTTTGTTAAAAAATATACCTATAAATGGGAATTATTCTCAATTTATTATATACAAAATTTTGTTATTTGTTCTCGTGTCATTTGCGTTCCCTTTCGATTTATTTTTACAATTTTTTATAAATAATTGCATTATTAAAAAAAAATTATTCTAATGAATTTCGCATCTCTCTGTCTCTTCAACAGGTTCATAAATCCTGCCTTTGAACATTTCTTAACTCAAAGACAGCAAAAATAACAAAAATATCAGCAGATAATAGGAAGAAGAAGAGAAAGCAGACGAGAATCTATTGTAAAGCACCACCAAAACTGAAGCAAGGCAACAACAAGAGCAACGCAAGTGAATCAGTTGACAGTTATGAGAGAGAAAGACCACTCACCAAGAAAGATGCTTCCTAGCCCAAAACAGGGCTGTGTTTACCCTGCCTTAGGATTAATACCCACATCGTATATATCACATGTACCTTATGATCTGTCCGCCTCGACGACGGCGGCCATAGCCACCAGCAGCATGACGACGACAGCAGCAGCGCGACACCAACAACAACAACAGCAGCAACAGCAGCAGCAACAACAACAACAATCACATCATGGCAACAAGGCGAAGCGACGCAGCAGCTACGATCAGCCGCTGGACCTGCGACTGGCCCACAAGCGACGGCAGCCCGCCAAGCTGCAAGAAGAGGATGAGACGCTGGAGCCGCAGCCGCTGGAGGATGAGAACAGCAATCTGATTCTGTTCGCCAACGAGCTGGCGGTGCAGCGCAAGGAGAAGGAGCTGAACAACAATCACATAGCCGCCTCGCTGGCCGACCTGGGCTTCGATATGAGTCGCAAGATGCTGCGTGCGCTGCGCGAGGGCGTCACCGCGTCGCCCCCAGCGCCAGCGCCCAATGCCATTGTCGCTGCTGGCGTGCACTCGACGCTGCTGGAGGCGATGACCAAGACGCTGCCGCTACAGTATCGCAATGTGTTCGCGCCGCCGACGGGCGCGCCAACGGGCGCGACATGTCCGACGGCGCCGGAGTTTGCGTTTCGCCATCCGCTCAAGAAGAGCGACCTGAGCTGGCCGCCCAGCGAGCAGCAACAGCAGCAGCATCAGCTGAAGCTGGAGCAACTGAAGCTGGACTTGCCCACGGCCACGCCTACACCTACGCCGCATCCCCATCCGCATCCGCAGCTGCAGGAATTCCAATCGCGGCAGCATTCGCGCAAGGCCAAGCAGCGGCAGGCGCAGTCCCAATCCCAGGCCCAGCCCCCAGCTGCTGCGGCAGGCGGAGGCAACTCACTGCCCGTGCAGCGCAACAAGGATCGCTACACGTGCAAGTTCTGCGGCAAGGTCTTTCCGCGCTCCGCCAATCTCACCCGGCACCTGCGCACCCACACGGGCGAGCAGCCCTACAAGTGCAAGTACTGCGAACGTTCCTTCAGCATCTCCTCAAATCTGCAGCGGCACGTGCGCAACATCCACAACAAGGAGCGCCCGTTCAAGTGCGAGATCTGCGAGCGCTGCTTCGGCCAGCAGACGAATCTCGACCGGCATCTCAAGAAGCACGAGTCGGATGCGGTCTCGCTGAGCGCCCTGAGTGGGGTCAGCGAGCGCATGCATTGCATTCGACGCTTCTGCGAGAATCCCAATGAGGAGTCCTACTTCGAGGAGATACGCACGTTCATGGGCAAGGTCACGCAGCAGCAGCAGCAGCAGCAGCAACAACAACAACAGCAGCAACAACAGCAGCAGCCACAGTCACTGCCATTGGCAACATCACGCAGCTCCGCCTCGTCCAGCTGCTCCGCCTCGCACACGCCCACATCCTCGCATACGCCCACGCAGTCGGAGTCTGCGGAAACGCTGGCCCAGGAGCTGCGCCGACTGCAGACGGAGCGTGCCAAGTCGGGCGACGACAGCAGCGAAGAGCAGCAGCAGCAGGAGGAGCAACTGGCGCGACAGCTGGAGGCAGAGGCCGAGGAGTCCAAGTGCATATTGCAGCTGAAGAAGACGCTTGCCTCCAAACTATTTCCCACAACAACAACAACAACTACAACAGCAGCAGCTGCAGAAGGAACAACAGCAGCAGAAGGAGCAGCAAGGGAAACACCAACGCTCAAGGAGGAGCCCTGAAGGTCCCTCAGCCCCAGATCGCAGCCAATCCTGAAGCAGATGACAACAATTTCCTATACGGTAGAAGCGAGCAGCGAAACAACACAAACACTTGTTTAGCTGCAAATATAAATATATACATACATATCTTTGTATGTGCATATTTTATATATTTTGTATTTTTTAATTTGTAATTTGTATGTTAAATGTTTTAATGTGTATATCGAATTGTACAAACAAGAGAGGAAACGAAAATATTTAGTTGAAGATTGGCAAATGTACTATATCAATTTAGTTATTTAAGCATTGGTATTTTTTGTATATATATGCAAAGCGACGCGAGACGTATGTACGAAAATAACAAAAACAAGCGCCCACTGTTTAATAAAAAGTTACAAGTTTTTTGAAATTTACTAAAACGTTATGAATTTTCCTTAGGAACTGTTGGGTGCAATGGCGACATCTAGTGTTCGGTAGATAAGCTAAGTGCAACGTTATGAAGCGCCAATAAATGGACGCTTGTGGTGGCGCCACCTGGCGTTATTTACTCTTAACAATTTTGTAAAGACACCCACTAGTGTTGAGTAGGTAAGTAACAGAGACAAAGCAGTGACACGACGTTCACTGCTAAGTAAAAAATGATGATGATGTTGCTCAAGTTGGTGTGAGACTTTGATAACAATTGCACCTGACTTTTAAAGTGTTACATACCAAATAATAAACATATTCATTTATTTTGTATATGAATGCTGTGTACTGTATTATTACCACTTATCAATTGTTGTTGTACGTATTTTAGACCATCATTAATACCACACAGCTGTTCAAGTCACCTAACGCAGCTGATCAGCTGTTAACATTGAAGAGTTTTCTGCCCATAACATTTGTGGAAGCTATTAAATTAACAGCTGATCGGCTGTTAACTTCAGTTTGCATGATAGAGTGATAAGCGTTGTCATAGCTAATTCAACACCGGCTAATTTTCCACTGCCGCACCCTTTATCAATAGATTAATTAAATACAAGTAACTAAGATAGCTTAATAATAATTATAAATTATTAAATAATAGTACAGATGGCCCCAAGTTTGACAACAATTACGAATTTGGCTGAGCTAACTGCGCTGAAGGAGCTCCATTTGAAAGATTGGCCCAAGCACTGCGTGGGCTTCTACTGGCTGGACAACTACTTGCGCTGGCTGCAAAAGAATCCCAGTACTAAGTACTTGACATTCTACACACTCGACGGCGGTTGGCGACGTGATGGGCTCTTTTTACTAGTGGTCTGTATGTGATATGGCTTACCCAGGGCTTAATACGTTATATTGTGGCACTTCCAGCATCGCTATCAATTGTTCTTCAGCAATCTGAGCAGGCAAAAAACACCTGAGCTGTTAACAGCACTAACACTGATGGACTGGACACGTGGCTATAAAGTGAGCGCCATTCACGAGACGCACCACGCGATCTACAAGCAGCTGCTTAGGGAGCATAATCTGTTCATGGATCGCGAAATGAAGACCATTATGTATCGACTGCCCTGCAAGCAGGCCAAAGAGCTGCAAGTGAACTGCCCGCCGGGCTACTTTCTGGACAATGTGAGGCTGGAGCATGCAGAGCTCATCAATGAGCTCTGGTCAGCTAAGCATCAAGGCTCGCTGAAGCTCATCCAGCTGCTGATCGAGATGAATACCAACGTGGGATTGTATGAGCAGGAAACTGGACAGCTCTGTGCCTGGTGTTTGAGGTAGGCCGGCGGTAAATAAATGCCAACTTGAATGACATTTTTCCATTTAGATTGCAGAGCGGCTTCCTGGGCGCCCTGGAGGTGCTACACACGCATCAGCGTCGTGGCCTGGGCTTAGTTGTGGCCGCTGCCATAGCCAAGCGCATAGCCGGCGACATAAATCACGATGTGACAGCGCTGGTTAATCTAAATAATACGGCCGCATGTAGAGTATTTGAAAAGCTGCAGTTTATGCTAATCAAGGGAGAGCATTATTACTGGAGCATGTGCTTGCCCACGGCAGGGGGCTCACTCAGTTGGCAGATGAGCGAATGATTAGCAGACAGAGAGTAAACAGCAAAGGTCTATTATGTGACACCCATCACCGTATAGCGTTAAGCAGCGTCAGATTAGTATTATCTTACCGGTTGCAGACTTTATAAAGCACAGCCATCGTAATGTTCTATCTTGTAACAAGTTTTCCGCTGAGCGAGCAACAGCCACAGAGATGAAGCTGCAAACTCTTGAAGTACAAGACCTGCGCCAACTGCAGGCGCTCTACAGGCGGGAGTGGCCCAAGTATTGCCAGGAGTTTTATAGTCTGAAGAACATGATCTCATTCCTGAAGTTCGATCCGGAGATAAAGCATCTGAAGGCCTACACCCTGCCAGATAAAACGGCACAGGAGCTGGGTCTCTATCTAATTGTGGTATTTATGAGCGAGACACTTTACACCAATCACGATTTCATCGGATGATTTTGTAGGATCGCTATCAAGTGCTTATGGGTTGCCTGGGTGAATCGTTCGATTTGCTGAAACAGGCCTTGCATCTGCTGGACTGGTCCAATGGCATCCAATGCACCACTATGCCTAAGCGATATTTGGAACCTGTGCTACAAGTGGTCGTGGAGAAGCAGCTCGAAATCGAACTTCAGTTCTGTAGTATCCTGCACCAACTGCCAGCCAAACAGGCACTGCAGTTCGACATAGAGTGGGATATATCTCTGCTGTCTGTGTCTTCTCTTTTTAAACGGTTTCTTTCAACAGCTGCCCAAAAGGCTTTTATCTGAAATCGTTGGCCGAACGGGATGCTCGCATCATTGATCAGGAGTGGCCTTATAGCCAGGAGGGTTCCTTGTACTTCATACAGCGCCAGATACGCATGTGTCAGAGCATGGGCCTCTATGAGGACGACACTCATAATCTGGTGGCTTGGTGCATCAGGTTCATAATGCTATTTCCCATTTAATTGAACTTATATTTAAGAAATTTCTGCTCCTAGAACACAAGATGGCCTCCTGGGCGCCTTGCAGGTGCGGGTATCGCACAAACGCCGCGGCTTCGGCAATCTTATAGTCCGGGCCCTTGCTCGCCGCATTGCCGAGGCGGGAGATGATGTGATCGCCGAAGTCAGCGTCACGAACACAGCCTCTCTACATCTATTCAATAAGCTGGGCTTTCAAAAAATCGATTATTGCAATTGGGTAATCACTCTGCCTGTCAATGGCAGCTTCACCTGGCCAAAGGGCGAGTGACTCCTAGGGAATGCTTTGCAGTGACTTTTGGGAGATATTGAAAAAGGCTTCTTCATTAGATTAGGCATTGATGGATATTCGCATATTTTTTGTATAAATATCTACAAATAATTGAAGAGGTTTTGAGAAGTTATCTCAATATAAATAACTATTCATATATTTTAAGTTTTGTATTGTATAATGCCTTTTTATTTTATTATTATTATTGCTAAAAATGTTTACCTATGTTATACTTTATCTGATAGTCAACTGTAAACTTGAATTTTTCAGCAATGATAATACCATGTCAGCAAGCATTCAACCATATTAAATAACTGTTTCTACTAAATACAACCAAACAGTAAACAATTTTTTAACGGTTTAAGAGTTATATTTTTAAACAAACTAACACACAAAAAAAAAAAAAAAAAAATCTTAAATCATATGCAAATATCATAAAGCTTTTTCCTTTATCTCTCACTCTCAACAACCCTCGATTAGTTTCTTTTGCGATAGGCCAATATTTGTTTCGCTCTCTAACTACAAATTCTTACACCTCTCTAATCTCACTCACTCGCGCTCTTCAAAACATGTTTCATTCCATCTAATTGAGTTCAGTCTGTCACGCTCACTCGCCTCGGGCAGTCGTCTTTGTGCTTAGCTCTGAGCATGTCGCTCGAATTGGAACGTGTCGACCTTCAGCAGCTGGAGATCTACCAGCAGCATTATAAGCAACAATGGCCCAAATATTGTGCGGAGTTTTATTGTCTAGATAATTTCATAGGTTTCTTTAGAGTGGATCCACAGATGGAGAATATTAAAGCTTACACGCTGTCCGAGCAGAGGGCTAAAGACGCAGCGCTCTTTGTGATCGTGGTTAGTCATAGTCGTAGCTTTTACACTGATTATTGTGGATGTTAATAGCTACGATTTATAGGATCGCTATCAGCTGTTTATGGGTTGCTTGGACAGCGGCAAAGAGCTGCTGACGGAGGCGCTGCATTTGCTTGATTGGTCAAGTGGACTCAAATGCAGTTCCATTCCATTTCGTCACATAGAGGCACTAGAGCAGGTCGTCAAGGCTAAACAGCTCAGGGTGCAGTACAGAGACTTGACAGACCTATACTACATGCCTCAAAAGAAGGCTGCTGCTCTGGAGGTTGAGTAAGTTCGTCATTATAACTAAAATTCTCAGCGATCATATGATCTAATGCCTAAATTCTATAGCATACCAGCTGGCTACTATATGAAGAGTCTCAGTGAGCAGGATGCAGAGCTGATCAATGAGGAATGGCCCAATCGGCATGAAGGTTCCTTGTACTTCATACGGCGTCAAATACGCCTCTGCGCGAATATTGGCTTATATGCAGCAGACAGCAACGAGCTGGTTGCCTGGTGCATCAGGTGAGTCACGGAGGCTACAAAAAACAAGGTCAACTGGCTTAGGCGCTGCTGCTCTTAGATTGCAGGGCGGATACCTAGGCGCTCTACAGGTGAGAGCAACGCATATGCGCCGTGGCTTTGGCAGTCTGGTCACCAAGAAGATCTCTCAGCGTATCGCTGCCCTTGGCCTGGATGTAATGGCCCTGGTGAATCCCCATAACCTAGCCTCAAATGCGATGTTCACCAAGCTGGGCTTCCAAGTAATCGATCAATGTCTCTGGCTGAGAACTGAGCCCGTGGCGGGCGAGTTTATGTGGCCGGACGGGCAGTAAATGCCCGCTCCCGGACTCCGTACATTTTCATTCGTTACAAATATAATATGATATAATAAAATACTACTGACTATTGACTATTGTATATGAATACAACTTTGGTGTACAAAAATATGCCAAGGCCTTCCATTTGAACACTCTCAGTTCGATATATTATTCCTGCTGCTTACTGCAGCCGCTGCCACAGCCGTTCGCAGCGCTCGTGAAGCTGGGCCGGGCACTGCTGCACGCTCGGCTCCTGCCGCATCTCCTTGAGCAGCTGGCGCACACACTCGAGATCGTATTGCACATGATAGGCGTTCATTTGGTATCTATGGAAAAGTAATTGGCTGTTGTTGGTCGTTGATTTACGGCGCTCGGCGATGAATTCCAAAAGCTCTATAAAATCGAGGTAGTTAATGCCAAAGCTGGCCCGCAACATGGTCTGGCAGTGCGCCTCAAAGTTGTCCATCTGTTGGCAGTCCGCGATCTCTCTGTGCACAGCCTGCAGGTTGCTCAGGAGATTACGCCACACCAGCGGCACATTGCACGCATTGAACCAGTTGTGATTGACCGAGATGGTGTCCGTCACGTTCCACACCTGGTGATACCAGCCGCTGGGCACAAAGACAGCCTCGTTGGCAGTTTGATTGATGGTGAAGTATCGTACGTCGTTCCGCTCCAGCAGCGACTCGTCTATGCTAAAAGGCAGATTTCCTAGACGATCGGCCAGCTTTAGTTCCTCACCAGGCGGCAGTATGAGCCACTTCTTATGGCCCACAATGTTTGTGGACCAGCTGTAGGAGCCGAAGACATCCGAGTGGAATGACGTCCTGCAGGGAAAAAATGATTAGCGGAATCTATCTATTGGCTAGTTATTAGCTACCAGGAGTCCTTGGGTCCCATGTACACGAAACGATAGTCGTCGCGCTTTTGCTCAATCAGCTGCTCATTCAGCCAGTCGGAGGCGAAATACTTGGGCACTTGGTAGAATTCATATGCCGGCAGCTGAGCAGCCAGATGCCAGTCCTTGAGGTAGAGATTATCCTTGGCAACGTTGCAGTTGGGCTCCGTTGTCTGCGACTTTGAATTGTCCACTTCCATGCTGCGCTGCCAGCGCTCCAGGAAGTCATGGAACTTCAGCTCCAGCTTGGCATGGCTATTGAAATAGGTTGCATTGCAGTCGGCCACGGGCACGGCGAGATCGTCAATGCGGCTTTTGAGGTAGTTGAAATTGATGGGGCTGTGGTTGCGGGCATTAGCATTTGCAGTATCGGTATCGTCGTCCTTATGCGCCCAATTGCGGCACTCCCACGTGTTGGACACATCGGTGATAATCACCGGCCAATTGGCGTGCATGTAGCGCCAGTAGAATTCGTTGTAGCTCAACTCTTTGCTGTGGCGCCGCTGAATGTCAGTGTTATCCACATCTGGGTGTGGATTTGGTCGTGGTTGCAGCGCCAGCAGCTCCGGCGCCGCTTTCTCTGACGCCATGTCAGAAAAACAAAACAAAAAAACGTAAACAAAATATGACTAGAGATTTTGCTGTGCTATAAGGTCACGCATACAGATGGCCATACATTTCTCAGAGACTCAGAGCACCATAATATACCTATATAAATGGCATACCTTAAAGAACAACTAATTGATTAATGTTGAAAATTTACTTCGTCTTAACATTGAATATTTTGCTGTTTATGTTGTGTTTGATAATATTTCAACATACCAGGAAATTCTGTGACGTCACAGATGCGCTGTTAATTTCACTCATTTAAATGCGTAGTGCTGCTGCTGCTCTTTGTCTGTGGAGCCGTTCCCAATGAGGAGCAATAATGTAATGCGTAAAATTTGAGTGCTCACTGTTAAAAGACAGTGCTGTTCAATAATGTTAAGTGCTAAACAGCAAAGCAGTGCACCCCTTCAAATTCTGTATACTGTACATGTGCTGTTGTCAGCCTGCTCTGTTAATCTCGAGTGAAATACTGTTCAAATATTTAGCAAGTTCACAAACCACAAGTATGCTCCATTTTTTTTCCTTTAAATTTTAAACAAATAATATAAACAATTTAGTTTTTTTTTTTACTGCACTCTGTTGTCATTTTATTGAAATTTATTTGCTAAACATTTTATCCATTATCAAGATTTAACTACAATTTGGATTTTACATACAATATGTGTTTCATGTGTATCATTTCTTATATGCAATAACCCAAAGATCGTCGCAGTAGTAAGTGACGCGTGTTTGAAGAATTCGAATTGAATTGTTATTATGTGTGAATTGGTTTGCTGTATAAGTTGCATATGCAAGTTCAATATATGTAACTCTATATACGTATATTTATTGTATATGTAGTAATGTATGTAAACTTTACAGATATTTCATGCTCACGCCTTATAGGCAAACAGTTAACCTAAAATCTAACGCTCCACTAACAACTTACTAAGATACAATGTAATTGTAATTGTTATTTCAATTGTAATATTATGCATATTAAATGTAATTTGCTAGAAAACTATAGAGGTTTACAAATCATAGAGGTGTATGTGTGTGTGTGCTAGTGTATGAGTGTGTGTGACTGTAGGTAAAAATCCTATGTACAGAACTACATACATACAAAATCGTATAAAATGCGCCATAAAAAGTTTAACAATAGTTTTTAAATATTTGCATAGAAAATGTACAATTATTGAGTTTATCTTTATCTTTGCCTTTATTCTTTGTGTGTATATTTATTTACTTAGGGCTACGCACATTTGACTAAACTTTCTTTTGTTTTGTAGGTTCAGAAGGTACAGAGATACTGACAGAGTTTTCTTTTGTTTATGTTTAGGGAGAATTCATTCGTAGTTAGATTAATATATTTATTCATTTTTTTTTTTTTTTTTTTTAATTTCAGTTATTTACAATTTGTATGCGTGGCATGCACTTCTAGCTATTTGCCACGCCTACTTTTTCTTTCACTTATTGTGCTAATTTAGTATGTGGTACGCTATTTATGCCGTTCAGTATATAGTTTATACGACTGCTTAAAAAATTCAACTAATTGTTTAATAAACATTTAATTAATGCCCGCCCCAATTTCCTAAATATTTTATTAATATTTAATATACTTTTTATAATAATAATTATAATAATATAATATTCAATGTAAGTGTATGCTTTCCCACTTGTTTTTCGTCTTCTTCTTCTTTCAATATTTGCATTAGCATTAATCTAAGAAATTAATTCAATTTTATGTATCATATTTATTACACGCTTGATATGTAGTTTTTCACATAAACAACTAAATGAATAAAGTCGGAAACATATGGTAATTGTATTCTGCATATATTGTATTTCATATTTGATCTATTTCTGTTGTTGGTCCAGTTGAAAGTCGTCATTGGGGAATCTTTAGCGAATTTCATATGGGAGGAGCGGTCGGAGCAGTTGGCTTGGGTGGACAGCAAAAAACCTTTTGGTGTGTGTTTCTCAAATAAATCTCAACGATTTGTTGTAAAGTGTGGGTGCTGTGGCTTCTCTTGGCAGTCTGTAGATTGTCTCATAACTTAACAACAACAAAATTCGAAAGGTTTAGGTTTAGTTAGAACTTAGCAATAACTAGCCAAATACTCGTAGTCTTATGAATATATACTTAAAGCTTATACAAACCATAGCTAGGCCATATCTTACATAACTAGAATGCAATTGTATTTATTTATTTATTTTTGAAATATTCCACATAATTAATTTCTATGTGTATTCATTTTTTAAATATATGTATATTGAATTTATATAGATTTTCGTTGCATGCACCTTCACTAAACTGGTCTATTGTACAACCTGTTTGGCTCTAATGCTTAGATTTAATTAGCTGGAAGTACAATTGTATGGATCGTCAGTGCGGAAATTGGGATGATCTTCGTAGGGCTTGAGTCCGGCGGCCTTCTTCTCATCGCGTAGCTTCTCCACCTGCTGCATGACGCGCAAGAAATTGCCCCCAGCCAATTTAGTCAGCTCATCCATGGTCCAACCCCCACCCAAAAGCTCAGCGAATAAAGTGGGATACGACGAAACATCCTCCAGGCCTTTGGGAGTGCTGCAAGTGAGAGAGAGAGAGAGAGAGAGGAAGAAAATGAATATTTTTATTTGAGTTTATTGGAATAAAGTGAAACTTAAATGAATAAATTATATCATTTTATTAGTCCAGGGTTGCTTATTAGAGCTCTAAGAAAAATATATATTTAAATTATGAATTTTAATAATGTATACTCAAACTGTTTTATAGCGATTTAACGTATTTACATATCTCAATATCCCCTTGAAATGGCATTAAATCAGAGCAACATATTATATATTTCCTATGCACATTCAGTTTAGCAGGGGCCTTCAATTATATATTATTTGCTTAATGGTAAATGTGGTCATAAAAATTAAACAATAAACCAGACGCTAAATGTACCCAAACTCTGTTCGGATAATAAAGTAGAGAGAGAGAGAGAGAGAGAGAGAGATAGCAGGAATTTATACAAGTCAAAGCTTAATAAATAACAAACAAACCAAATATAATAGCATATAAATAATAAATTTATATTCCTGGTCGCACTTGAAGGAGGAAGTACGAATAAATAATAATTTACTGTTATATGCAGCATTTAGGCCACAATTTAAATGACATGGAAACGGAATATATGCACGTGCTTAAGCACAATATAGGGTGCTCACAGAGAGAGGGAGAGAGAGAGACACTAAATAAATTTAAAACTAAATAAATAAATTTCTTTTTCGACTGCAAATTATATATGATGCAGTTATTTTCTTGACATCTGCCCTTTAGTGAAGCACCCTGTATTGTCGTAGCTATAAATATATTTCAAGCATTCTTCAGTCAAAAACAAAACCCAATTTCTGCTATCTGACTATGTTGTCCTTTATTAAGCTTCGCATTTATAATGTTTAAGCTTCCTTTGCGGTTCCACGTCTCAAAGGCGTGTGTGCATTCTTCCAATTGCTATTGCTATACGCATGCATTTCGCATTGGTATTTTATTGTTTGTGCGTAAATTAATATCTCCCATTTGCGGTTATGGCGTGTGCTTTAAATTCAATTCGCATTCCACATGATAAATTTATCACAATAATCACGCATTAAAAGTAAATTTAATTAACAATAGACGAGCCTAACACACGAAGTCGAAATACTCCTTCTTGACGACTATGATTTTTCTATTATATACCCAAACTTCTTTAATATTTTAAAATCGGTTGGTTAAGTTTTGGGGTGATTACGAGTAGTTTTGAAGCCTCGAAGAACAAGAATATTTTAAATTTAAACAAAAATTGCACCTATTTGCCATCAATAGAAACAACTTGTCTGTTTCATTAATTGAGACTCAATATCATCGAAAATGAACTGTGGAAATTTAGCAAATTTATTTTGTATATATACACACTTTACACACTTGTGACATTCTTCATTCTACAGCTTAAATTCTCTACGCACTTCAAGTGTATTTTAATAAATATTCCAAAAAATATTCGGCATAAATATGCGATAGCCTGGCCAAAAACTATGAAAATGTGTCAGGTGTCATTGAAGTGGCTCGGAATGCAGTAATACCAGCAGCAGCAACAACAAGAACAACAGCAGGAGCAATATCGAAAACAACGCAGCTTCAATTGCTGCTTGTTAAACGCATTAAATGCCACTCAACGCCCAGGGGCGTGGCTGTGGTTGCCCATGCGGGGTTCGAGCCGGAAAAATACCATTTGACATTTTGTAATTTCATAGAATTTTAGATTATTTATTGTGAAATACTTGTGCCACTGTGCGTGTGTGCGACTCTATATATATATGTGTGTGTGTGTGTTGTGAGAGTGGCCTATAAATATTCATAAGCGCAATTTCAGTTGTGTTTTTTGACATTTTTCTTTTTATTAGTGCTGCTGCTGTTGCTGTTGTTGTTGTTGTTGTTATTGCTTTTTTGGCGAAATAAACTTCGTTTCGTTTTGGAAATTGATTTACATGAAAATTGTTGTCGGAAATTTTCATATGCATGTCGCATTACAACAACAAGCGACTTGTTGTGGCTGCAAAATTTGTGTGGCATGTAGTAAAAATATTTAATTGAAAAACACGCAACAAATGGACGGGTGTCTCAGGGTGTATGTGTATGTGTGTGTGTGTGTGTGTATGTAAGGGTCAGGACATACTGGAACATCGTCGCTCCTCAAATTTCGTGGCTTTGTTTATTTTTGTGCTCTGTGTCACCAAAATAAAAGCCAGTGAGACGAAAATAAATGCAAATTTTTGGTCGACAGCGTTATCGAGTTATTGCTGCTGATAACGTTGAATGCTAATGATAATGAGTGCAGTGTACATATGGGTGGGTCTGTGTGTGTGTGTGTGTGTGTGTGTGGGTCTCTGACATATTGGTAACCATCAGAGCGAACGAAATTGAGTCCACTTTCAGTGTGAGCCCTTTCCAGCAGGGACCATTCAATTTAAATTGAAGTGTGAAACTGTTTGGCAAATATACCTCTCTCTCACTCTCTCCCACTCTCTGTTTCTATTTCTCCCTCAAACTAATTTAGGTGTTGGAGTTTTGGTGTATTTATAAAGTGGATGTATCAAAGAGAGAGAGAGAGAGAGAAAGAGATATATATATATATATATATATATATATATATATATATATACATAATAAACATTAACAGTTGTCTGCTTTAATAGAATTTTACACACTGAAAGATATAGAAAAGATTACACACACTAAAATATATTCCTGTTATTTGATGCTTATAATAGACAAAACAAATTTTGATCTTAATTTGGCATAGGACTCCTTTAAATAGAAGTTTAAAAAGGATATAGTTTCTTATTTTATTAACTTTTTCTACTGCTGATTGTATGCGGCTCTAATGAGATTTTATGAAAATTTGAAAACTTATTTGATTATAATCTATTTCTATATATTTATAATCTATCAAGGGATCTGTAAAGCCTTTTGTTCATTTGAGAATACTTTCCATTTTGTTTACTGTTCTCGTTCTTGATCTCTTCTCATATGCCATTTCATTATATCTGATCATTCAATCATTTTATTCATGTATTTCTCCCTTACTCTCTCTTCTATTCTGGTTCGATCTCTCTTGATTGTATGCTCATTGATTCTCTTTTCTGTATCCCTATCTCCCGCTCTCTGTCTTTAATTTAATTTTCTAATTTTCTCCTGCTTGCATCCTCTCTTTCTTTATGTGCCTCTCACCACTTCTTCTCTTTCCCTCCCGCTAATCTGTATTATCAATTAGAGGAAAATACAAATGTCATATCAATAAAAAATTTATGTATTATGTATTTATATAAATGTCTTAATGTCTTAAATATACTCTCTGCGCTCTGTAAGCGTGTATTACTCGATATATAAAGTTATTAAAAATTCTCAAAGCCTTCGCGGTGATAAATAGTACATCTGCCCTTAGCAACCACTGTAATTATTCGCAGTGCTTATTTAAAACAACCTCTCTACCTCTCCTGACACTCTCTCACCTCTCTCACTTTTTCACTGCCCATTTTGGAGACCTTAACGAACCGCAATATGAATTGGCAGCCGCAATATGCCAATTTAAAGCTGCTGTACTTAAATAGAATCAATTAATAACTTAAAAACCACCTGGGCAGAGGCTGCGACAGAGATGCTGGGAGAGTGGGGGAGAGAGAGAGAGAGGGAGACAGTGCTTCTCAGTTACCATAGCAGTTGCTCTCTGTGAAGCTTGTGGCCAAGGGAAATGCGCATTTAAGTGAAATAAATGACTTTTACTTACTAATTAATGCCGTCGTAGCCGGCGCCGAGGCCAACGTGATCGATGCCAGCAACGCGCTTAATGTGATTAATATGCGCTGTGTGTGTGTGTGTGTGTGGGTGTGGGTGTATATCGGCGGGTGTCCGAGTGTGTGAGTGTCATTTTGCATTTCGTTGTGTTGGTCAGCAGGATATCGAATGACAAGCATTCAAGCGTGATGTTGTTTGTTGTTGTTGTTGTCGAGTTCATTAGAGTCCATTGTTAAGTGAGCGCCGTTGTTGTTGTTGCCATCATCATCATAAGCCGTCGTTATTAAAATTTTGCAAATTTGAAATGTGTCCAGGCGCCAAGACAATGCCATGAAAAGACAAAAAGAGATGGAAACCAAATCACGTCACATTAGACAATTGCACAATAAAAATAAAAAAAAAAAAAAAAGAATCATCCAAAAAATTGTAAAGAAAGCAAGCAAACAATTAGCAAGCGACAGCAAGCAATTGAGCTGATTCTAAATACTGTGTAATGCAAATAAATGATTATTATAGAGGCAGGTCTTTGGCTGTCTATCTCTTATGATCTCTAAGATGCCTGGAGAAAAATTTGTATATGCAAGATTTTTCAGTTACTCCCGATATTATGATTAATTGAGTCTATATTCATTTTCATATAATTTCAAGATCAATTTAAATCACTTCATATGTAATGATCTAGATCCTCATATAAAAATCATGTGACATTCAAATATTTGTTATCCTCCATCAATCTATATCTATATCTATATCTATATCTATATCTATATTTATATCTATATCTATATCTATATCTATATCTATATCTATATCTATATCTATATCTATATCTATATCTATATCTATATCTATATCTATATCTATATCTATATCTATATCTATATCTATATCTATATCTATATCTATATCTATATCTATATCTATATCTATATCTATATCTATATCTATATCTATATCTATATCTATATCTATATCTATATCTATATCTATATCTATATCTATATCTATATCTATATCTATATCTATATCTATATCTATATCTATATCTATATCTATATCTATATCTATATCTATATCTATATCTATATCTATATCTATATCTATATCTATATCTATATCTATATCTATATCTATATCTATATCTATATCTATATCTATATCTATATCTATATCTATATCTATCTCTATATCTATAGCGTTTTGATTTCGATGACCAAAGAGCTTATTGACCCTTTCAATAAAATTGTAATTGCCAATTGCTCACTTCACTCAATGTGCTAGCATACCCGCTTCCTGGCATAGGGAATGCGCAGCCGAATTGTGTGAAAGCCAACGAAACAGGAAGTGATTACGTCCGCCATTTTGATGGCGTGTCAAAAGCAATGCCAACAAAAAACTGGCAGCGCAAGCCGAGAGGCAATAATGAACTAGCTGAAACAATGGGCTGACAATCAGCGGTGCTGGGTGGTGCGCGGTGGGTGCTGGCTGGAGCCACAGAGACCGCAGTCAGTCGATGGCGTTAATTGTTTTGCATGCTCAAAAAAAAAAAAAAAAAAAAAAAAAAGGCTGCGCTAGTTGGGCAGGAGAATTCAGCGAAATGAAATGGCATTTAAAGGGAAAACGAGCTTTGAAATCAAAACTAATACAAATTTAATGTACAACTTACCGACTGCGTCCTGAACCGTTGAGTTGTCGCTGCAGGAGAGAAACTTGGAGTAAAAGTTGACCATGACGAGGCCGCCGTTCTTGGCCAGCGACTGCAGGATGTCGTCCTGCACGTTGCGGCTCGTATTGCACAGCTCGTAGGCAGAGGAGTGCGAGAAGATGACGGGCGCCTCGCTCACCTCGAGAGCGTCGCGCATGGTTCCCTTGGAGACGTGCGACAGATCCACCATCATGCCCAGCCGATTCATCTCGCGTATGATTGTCTGCAACGGGTCAAAGGGTAGGCGAGGGGTAGGATTAATCAGAGTTCGTTAGTCAGTGATTAGAGCGTGGTCAGCAGACATTCGGCGCTCACTGTGCCCGGGGGTCTTAAATGGCTTTCATATCAAAATGCGTTGCCATAAGCTAAGCCCATGTCATAAAACAAAGGCAACGGACGATTGAGTGGAGCCGGCGGCAATGGCGGCGACGGCGGCGGGCCAGAGCACGACCCAAGTACCAAGAGGACAAGCAAACAGTTTCATTATGCATGTACTTTTACTTAACCTTTGACTCTCGCACAATGTCTGAGTAAATTGATATTGCTTCGGCTGTCTGTGTGTGCGTGTGAGTGTGTGTGTGTGTGTGGCTATCTCTGTGTCTCTATGTGTGCGTGTGTGTCTGTCTCTATGTGTCCCACTGTAATTTGTATTTATGCTCGGATTTATGGTTGCTGTCTCATGTGTGGGTGTGTGTGCGTGTGTCTATGCCTGTGTGTGTGCGTGTGTGAGCAGCTTACATAATTACTAATCTGATGCAGTTACATTTTGCGCCACAAATTATGAGCAAATTAATTACACTGCGCGAGATTAATTTCAGTCGCAGCGATGCTCATCAGGCACTCGAGCCAATTTAGCATTCAAATTGCACATTCACAAAATGTATCTAAAAACTGCTCAACGACGAGATCTAAAGATAGTTGTATATATGGCTTGAATTGCGTTTGAGATATTTGCAAATAGAAAACGGAGAGACAGACGAAAGTCAGTTGGGAATTTATCTCTATTTAGTTTACTTTAAAGAGAGTTTCTCTATGGCTAAAAATGTTGGAAATATTTATAAAATATTTCTTATAAACTCTAACTTAAAATTGGCTGCTGGATATACCAATTTATGGGAATGTAAATACCTTTTTCCTTTAATATGAAATAAGAATAATTTATTTTTTTTTGTTTGTTTTTTTTTTTTTTTAATTATATAAAATGTTTGCTACTTGAATAGCTCAATCTATTTAAATGAAGAATTAGTAAGCTTGTAAAATATTGTAAGTGACATAAAAAACAATATATACACATGTATATTTATTTATGTTATGGTTATATTTAATTAAACACGGTTTCATAAAATCCTCTTTTAAATATATAAAATAAATATTTGTCATAGAGATTTGCATAGAGAATGAATGTACTCAATAGCTGCTCTACCTACACCTCCTCTATTCCATCTCTCACCATCTATCTCACCATCTTCCTTCATCTCTCTCTCCCTCACACTACCTCATTCCCTATCACTCTCTGCCTCTTTCTCTACCTCTGCCTCTCTCACTCACTAAGTAACTTCTCCTACACTCTCTGTTTCCTTTTCAGCAACTCAACCCCATCCGCTTTTTAGTTAACTAAACTCCATTCATTTGCGAATAAGTGAGTAAATTAAATAGTTTTCTATTTGTATACAACTAAATAGATGTCCAACTCAGAGTGGAGTTTTTTCAGTGTATGTTTTGTGTGATTCCATTTCGCAGATAGTTTTTAATTACAGTCGTGAGTAGGCGTCGTGGTAAGAGCAGGCATGGGCCTTAGCAGCAGCAGGAGGAGTAGCAGCAGCAGCAGGAGTAGCAGCAGGAGTAGTTAGGGGTTTGTGAGATCTAACCATATAGTCAATAGTCACAGACGGGCGGCTGTTTGTTTGGGGCTATTGGCCTTAAATTAGCTAACAAATTGCAGTTGGCCGAAATGCTCAATTGCCATAATGCCTGTGCACTTAATAGGCGTGGCATTAAAGCTCGAGCGTAAACACGGCCAAAACTAATTGGAATCATTCGAATGTGAATGTGTATGAATGTGTGTGTGAGTGTGTGATTGTGTGTGTGTGTGTCATTGTGTGTGTGTGCGCGTATGTGCTTTTGGTCGAGTATTGTGCTTTAGAAAATGTGTATTAAATGCTTATTGTCGCCTAATTACGCACAAACAAACACACACACACAAACACACGCAGGCATGGACAATAGAAAATGTAGGCTGAACGATGGGGGCGTGGCTGACTGCGCATTAAATCTTAATTAACGGTTCACACAGAACGGCTTATGCAACTGTCAGTACTCATGGGAGTGTGTGAGTGTGTGCGTGTGTATGTGTGTGTGTGTGTGTTCGCTGAGCTGTTTACAGCAACTCGAAGCAGTAAATTAAAATTTAACAAATTATTTGGTGATTAATTGCTAAGGTCCTGCCAATATGTAATATATGTATATGTATATATATATAGTATATATTTACCATATATAATACATATATTTTCGCCTTACATTTAATTTCACAAACATAATAAATGTAATCAATTCGATTGCAATATATTTTTATTTTTGCTGCCTTCATTTAATTGCACTTTTAATTGAGAGCATTATGGTGCCATGCGGCGTATGCTTAATGCTATCCCACATGCAAATGTTGCCAATAAATAAATGTGTAAATTAATAATTTACTCTTAAGTGCATTAACTCCGCTGTTGAAACAATGCCAGCTAATAATGGTAAGAGTTGTATATAATATATTCCTATATATGTACACATATGTATGTTTTAACTGTGCCTTAAGTCATATCAGTGTGATGCAAAACCATATTTTTAAATTAAATAATCAAGACCAAAGGAAAAAAAAAATAATTTTTGTATTCCTTAATTTATAATTTGTATTTATTTCCTATTCCTAATAGGACTTTTTGTTCTTGATTTCTTGTTTTACATTTTTATATTTAATTTCTAATACATATAAATAAATAATTTATTTTAGTTTATTCACAATCCTTTCCTGTTCTCTTTTGCTTTTATATTTTTCTCTATTCTAAATTAAGCAATTAAATTAAGAAATTGTTCTACTATTATTTACGATCATTTTTTATTCAAATCGTCATAATTAAATAATTTTTTTTTTTTATATGAAGAGCAGTCCTATTTATGTCCAAATGAAGTAGCCTCAAGTAGTTCGCTCTCACGTCCATTCTAGTCCGAAATGTCGACAACGTTATTAAGTTAGCATTTAAACCGCCAAAAGGCGATGTGCATAATGCGAATCAATGGCTCTGACGCTGACTGAGTGACAGGAAAATTGAGGAGCAACTTTTCACAATGCTCATTAATGTTAGACATCAGCATCAGCATCAGCAACAGCCTCAGCATCAGCAACAGCCTCAGCATCAGCCTCAACAGCTTCCAGCTACCAGCTACCAGCTAGCAGCTACCAGTTGCCACTCGCCGGGCCACTTTTGTATCGATGCGTCAGGCTTCAGCTACAGCTTCAGTTACAGCATGAGGCGCAAACAATGCTGCTGTCAGCAGCAAACTCATAAAAGAAGAAGACAAGGGGAGCTGGACACAGGACTCGGGACGCATCCTTGCAGCCATTTGCTGCCACAACGAATTGATGCCTTTTGTTGGCCATTTCAATGTGAATGTGAAATTGTTATTAATTTTTTGGTTGCAGCCAAATATATATATAGATTTTTTCACGCAATTAAATTGCGATCTTTGTCTAAAATATATATGGAATGCCAGCTAAATATGTTTACAAATTTAATATTCAATTAGCAGACGTGGCAACATTTTGCTGCATCGATAACAACGAATCTGCAAATGCATTTAAATTGAATTTAGTTTTGCATTTTGTTGATTTTTATTGTATTTTTCATTTATTTCTTTGCATTTAAATTTGCTTAAATCTGCGCTAAAATAGTTAAATGAACTTTTGGGCAAAAATAAATGAACTGGCGTAACGAAACAAATGCCAAGCCACAAAACGAGTTAACATGGACACAGACACAGACACAGACACATATTAAAATATACATTTATAGAGGTGTATATGTAATACTTATATGTATTTATATAGCGAATTTACTCACTCGCAAAACGTATTCAGCTGTGTGTTGGGCATTAGCGCTGTTTGCCAAAAACTCATTAAAAACTTTAAATTGAAATAAAATAAAGTGCATATTCATATACATATATATATATATATACAACATATTCTATATACTTATAAATGGGCCAATGCATCTGAAATCTGGTGACAATATGCGCAAAAAGTAATAAGCTCGTAAAATATCCTTTTGCAATCGGCTTATAAATATTGCATAGACCACAAATGTGCCTCGATAAGTTTTGTGGCCCAGTGTGTAATTAATTTGTTTTTGTGTTTCGACTCTTTGGCGTAAATCTTTCCTTTCAGCTGTTTTCCCAATATGAGAAACATATTTAATTAATCTGATGCAGCTCTTTGTTTATCAACGCAACTTTTGTATTGTATATATCCAGTTTGATTGACGCATTGATTGGCTGAGTGACGGGTTGATTAATGGCTAAAGCTCAGCTGTTACGGTCAGCTGACATTGGCAATGTTTTACAACATTTACAAAGGCTTAACAATATTTTAAATGAGCAAAAAATATCTTTAAAAGTGATCTTTTATCGGCTAGATGTTGATGTTGGTTAAAGCCAAAGTTAGCTAGATGTTTCAACAGATATAGGATGATATAGGATCTTCTCGAAGATCTCTTAGGTATGATAATGCTTCCTTTTTAATAACAGTTGCTTCATCAAAAAGAATTTAAGCAAATGGAATCATGACTCTATTGGTGGCGCCTCATAAGCCAAATTCTTTATCTCCCAATCTCATTCACACTGTTTTCTTATCTATGCTTACTATATTAAATATAAAATATGTATTTGTCTCTATAGATTTTATGCCTCTCACTCACAACAATTTGTTAAGAACTTTTTTTCAATACCCACAGTGAAAAATAAATGGCAAACAGAAACAGAAATGTCATAAAAGCCAGTAAACAATATAATAAATGAATATTTAAGAATTAATTAGTTGGGAAACTTCACACGAAAAATATATAAAATGTAAATGAAGAAGATTTCTGATTATATTGAAACGGATGCTTTAGATTTTTCCTTTTAAAATATATTTAAATTTATATTGCAATTGATTTTTAATGTGTATCAAGT